TCCCACATGGAATGAGTGGTGACAGGACCAAACAGGTCTCTGGAGCCCAGGATCTCCCTATGTTCTAAGAAGTTGGGGGCAGGACCAGGCTGACATTCATGCTCTGGAAGGCTTGTGTGAAGCCACCCCATTTCTGGACCTCAGCTTCCTCATCTGTACAATAATGGCTAGATGGGGTGTCAGTCCCTTCCAGTTCTGGAGTCTAGGATGGCCCTGTACTGTCAGGGAAGCATAAAGGGACTCCTCGCTCTGAGAAGTTCAGTCCTGGGAAGAACTGGGGTGGGGCAGAGAGGAATCCAAATGTCTCCCAGCTCCCAGGGCAGGAAACCAGCCTTGACCAGTCAAGATGCAAATTCTCAGTAGACCTAGGAGGTGGTGTCCAGATACCTGAGGGGTTTCCTTGAAGCCACACTCCTGCTCATTCACCTCCTCTTCCTCTCAGCGATCTCTTTTCTAAAGCCAATGCCCTGGGGAAGAGCTGACTTTCCTGGGAACGTGGCCTTGCCAATGGCCACCCTTACCCACCCCCTACACACACACATACACATACACACACACACCCATGACCTTGTAGTCTACACAGCCTGAATTCAGCAGTGCTCTCTCACACCCCTGGGCTTTTTCCTGAAACATGCTTTCTTAAATTTACTTAAAAGATATGGAATGAGCCCCTACTATGTGCCACACACTGCTGCAGGCACAAAGGACAAGCAAGACAGACCCAGTACCTACTTCACAGAACGAGGAGATCAGAGGATGACCCACAATAATACACTCCAGAACAAACATGAAAATAGCACAATGTGAAGCTGTTGTACATACAGTGTAAAAATTAAAATCGGTCAACAGCGCAGAGAGTGACTGCTGGGGTAGCAGGGATGCTAGTGCGATGGGGTCTAAAGAGGGAATATTCAAGCTGAAGTTTCAGTAAGGAGAAGAGGGTCACACACCAACATCTGGCTAGGGAAGCAGTTTGGGCAGAGGGGCCAACAAGCAAAAAGATGCTGAGATGGGGACAGGTTGGGCATGTCTGAGGGATAAGACAAGGCAGTGTGGTGGAGCACAGCCATGGGGAGAGTGGTAGATGCTGGTCACGAGGCCCCATAGAGCCCTGCTGGGGACTTGAGTGGAACTCTTGTGTGAGATCAGAAGCCAGAAGGGCTTTGAGCAGGGGCTCCCCCAGAAGATCATTGTGTGAGGAGCAGGGACTGTAAAGGGGCAGGAATGCCCTCCCTCCCATTGTCAACTGGTGAAACTCCCTCTCATCCTTCAGATGCCAACCCAATGGGCACTTCCTTGGTCAGATCCCCTGGTGAGTCTCATAACACCAGCTTCCCTTCATCGCTCCTAGCTCTGGGGTAATCTCATGGGTGTCTCTGGTCATTTGATTAATGTCTATCTTCTCCACTAGACTCTGTGCTCCTTTGGGACAGGCACACGTCTGCCTCTGCTCATTGTAAATCCCTAGCACCCTGCACAGAACCTGGCATGCAGTGGGTGCTTAATCAATGTGAACGTGACAAATATGCGAATCCCCAGGGTCTCAGCCCTCAAGGAATGGCTTCCTACTACTTCCTCCCTCCACGGTGCCCCCCACACCTTGCATCTACCTCTTCCATAGAACCCAGCATGACTGTAAACAGCTTCTGGCACCGTCACACATACACACACGCATACATACTGGATTGTGCTCCAGAGGGCAGGACACATGTGTAGTCCTTCACTATACCCCTGGGATCCACTTGAATCACGTGGTGCCTTTGTACGTGCAAAGAACTACCTCGCCCATGTGAACCTCCACCTACTCAGACTCCCCACTTGAGCTCAGTAGAAAGTCTGTGCCTGAAGTCAGGGTCAAGCCCTGCCTTCCCTCTCCCAGTTGAGCAGCTTCACCCACAGACCCACCAGCAGCAGGGGCCCCCATCCTCTCCTAGACCCACAGCCCCACAATTGCTCACACAAATGGGGATAAGCTCTGTTTGCAAAGATACAATGGCTGTATTTTGCAAACCAAAGATGAGCATACACAGACTAAGGCTTACAAATGGGGACAAAACACTGGAATGTCTGAGCTCTGGTCTGGCCCAGGAAGTTGGGAAACATTGGTCCCTATTTTTAGGGTCAACTACTTTTTCCTATTACAGCACAGCACCCATGATCCTTAGTGCTGTTAGATCCCACTTAATTAATCAGCATATTCGTGAAACAAATGTGATAAAAATAACATTGTTAAATATATAGATATATATTTCACATGCTCTGCAAAAGCTTGGTATTAAAGAAATTCCTGGGACTTCCCTGGTGGCGCAGTGGTTGAGAGTGCCCACATGCCGCAGAGCTACTGAGCCCGCGCACCACAACCACTGAAGCCTGAGTGGCCTAGAGCAACAAGAGAAGCCACTGCAGTGAGAAGCCTGCGCACCGCAACGAAGAGTAGCCCCCGCTACCCAACACAGCCAAAAAAAAGAAAAAAGAGAGAGAGAGAAAGAAAGAAATTCCTTTTGCAGAATAACAAAGTACTATATTTTTTGGAGGGCAATTTGTTAAAAGCCTTAAAATGCACATGCCCCACAGCCCAGTGATTCTATTTCTGAGACATAATTCAAGTTTTAAAGGGCTACTGCAAAACTAAGCTACAAGAATATTTGTCACACAGCACTGCTTGTAAAAATATATCATTCAAAATAATCCAAATGTCCAGCAGGGAGTAATTACTTAAAGTAAGTATGGTGCATCTGTACAATGGAATACACTGCAACCAAAATACTACTACTAATAGTACTTATTGAGCACTTACTCTGTGCAACAGACCACCTTAAAAGCTTTATATGCACCATCTTATTTAACTCTCACGATGCTGTAGGTACAATTACCATTCCCATCTCACAGATGAGAAAATCAATACCTAAAAGGATTAGGTTACAAGCCAAGGTCACACAGCTAGGATTCACACCCAAGGCAGTCTGACTCTAGACACCAAGTTCTTAGCCATTATACTGTATGGCCTCAAACAATATCATTAAAAAGAGATATTATAGAAGCACAACCAGTCACATGGAACAGTGCTGTTGATATAGCGATAGGTAAAAGAAGCCAGTTATTAAACAGGACATGCATGCTGATCCCATTTGTGCACTTGCATGTAAGCAAAGACAGAAGGGTTTGCAAAGATAACACTGTAGCATCTTGGTGTAGATTGCTGAGTGGGTGGAATTGTGTGTGTATTTTTTATATTTTCTTCTGCTGTGTTTTCTGTAACAAACATGCTAATTTTGTATTAAGAAAAAATAATTTTAAACTTTAAAAAATTAATGTGAATGCCAAAATCACTCCCTTGCACTTATCCTCTGCATAAACCCAAGTGTCCATCTGTTGGCCTTGCTTTAAGTATAGTTACAGCTGCTTGCACAGGACTCAGGACATGGCCTGAAGCCAATTCACGGGCTCTGCTGGCTCTTCATGGCTCAGCTTCCCCTCAAGGCAGCCAAGGCTCTCCAAGTAGGAAGAGACAGCAGAGATTCTTCCCACTCTAATCCTCAGCAGCCTGCCCATCCCATCACCCCAGGATCCTCTCTGGCACTTGAGCTCCCAGGGGGCTGCTGGGCTGACAGCACAGAGCTGTGTGAGCTGGCAGAACCTGGCAGCTTCTGCCCTGGCTCCAGGTCTGGTCTGGAAGCCAAGCCCAGGGACCCTCGGAGTCTGACACACTCCATCTCCTGTTGCTGGGTCTTTCAAGGAAGTGCTTCACCAAAAAGTGAAGGGCACACATGCCTGAAGGAAGTCAAATGGCCCAGGGACAGGAGCCCCAGGTCTGCAGCCACACGACCAGGGCCCTTCCTGGCCCAGTCACCTGTGTCCTGGCTATGTGATCTTGGGAAAGTTATTTCTTCTCTCTGAGCCTGTTCCAGTGCCCATCAAGTAAAGAAATTAAAATACCAACTTGGAAAGGGACTTGTAAAAAACTATATATATATATATATATATAAACATATATATATATATAAACATATATATATATAATAGATATATATAAAATAACGATGCCAGTAAGTAATATTTCCAGGGCACCAACAGCTAGTCAGGCACTCAAACACTTTCTAGGTATGATCTTATGGAATTCTCACAGCAGCACTGTGACTACTCACACTTCATGGATGACGAAACCAAGGTGTAGAGCGGCTAAGTCACTTGCACTGGTAAATAGTGGAGCAGGAATTTCTGTCACCATGCCTGGGCCCACACCGCCACACCACACATCCTGGCACAATGTCTAGAACATGGACTTCATCCAGATGGTTACCACTGTCACGTCTCCCCGCCCAGCCACTGCCTAACTCTGGAGAATGATGTGACAGTGAAGAGAGCCACCCACCTGGTTCTCCCCACCCCCCACAGGCCCACAGACTTTTGGAAGCCTTCCTTCCAGATTAGCCAAAGCTCCACACACACACACTCTTTGAGCCAGCTCCAGGGACCACAGGCCATGGCTTTGCTGCTGCACATCCTGCGGTGACCACCCTCCAAACCTGGCCTTGTGCTCTGGCCACCAGTGCTGCTGGCCCAACAGGGACAGCTCACGCTCTAGGAGTCAGGCCTGCTGGCACTCACACCTGGCACCTGCCCCAAAACCCTTTCAAGTCTCCTCGAGAATTTGGGCCTCGGGCCTGGGTCTCCCAGCGGCTCACAACAGCAGTCCAGAGGGAACCACGAGAAGCATAAAAGCAGTGCCCTTAAGCAGCCTCGCCACCGTCAAGTGGCGCCCGAGCACTGGCTCTGGCTCTGTGTGCGTGCTGGAGCCTGGGTGTGCAAGTGTATGAAGGAGAATGTGTGTGAGAGCGAGAAGGTCGCGGATGTGAGTCTGAATGTGCAAGTGCGCGCGTGGCTCTGAGTGTGCGCTGCTGCGATCGCGGTCCGGGGCGGGCGGCGGGCGGGGAAGGTCTCCGCCCCAACCCCCCAACCGCGTTGAGAAATCTCAGTGAGTCACCGAGTGGTTCTGCATATTAATGAGCTCGGAGCGGATTTAAAAGAGGCCTGGGCGGGCGGAGGGAGACTGTGGAGACAGCCCGGAGCCGAGCGCAGAGCGCTGCGGGGTGCCACAGCCGCGAGGCTCCCACCGACGGGCGCAGCAGGAGCGAGTGGAGCCGGGAGGCGCGCTCCGGGTAGAAAGAGCCAAGCCCGGCGCCCGGACGCGCGAGCGCCCTCCCCGAGCCCCTGCTCCCGCGCCGCGCCCCTCGGCCAGCATGAGGGTCCTGACGGCAGCGCTGCTCCTGCTGCTCCTGGCGCTGTGCGCCGCGCGCGTGGACGGTGAGTGCCTGGGAGGTCCCTTGGCGCCAGCCCGGCCCGTCCTGGGGAACCCCCAACGCCAACTGCTAAGCTCCCCGGGATCCCTGGGGTTCTGGGTGGGCACCGAGGGTGGGCAATGAGTTGCGAAGGAGACCCCTCGCGCAACTGAGCAGCCCCCCGCGCGCTCTCTCGCAGGGTCCAAATGCAAGTGCTCCCGGAAGGGACCCAAGATCCGCTACAGCGACGTGAAGAAGCTGGAAATGAAGCCAAAGTACCCGCACTGCGAGGAGAAAATGGTTATGTGAGTTCTCGCTCTTCGCCCCGAGCGTGTGCGCTCAGCTCTTAACCGGGTGCTGCGGCGCAGCTTGGGGCTGGGTCGGGCTAACAAGCCTTTCTCTCAGCCTTTGTCAAGCCCTTGGCGGAGCCTTTGTAATTGCCTAGCGAGTCCTTAGGACGCTGGCACGGCAGTCTGGAAGAGAGTTTGAAAAAAGGGTCACGGTACTGTGCTCCGGAAACAGCCTCTCCGAGGAGTTCACCCTTGCTAGGATTCAAATGGGTAGCCTAGGGGTTGCACTGTCCCCCCTTTCTAGGGTGATCAAGGGTTAAATGGCTTCCGTGTGCCAACTTAGAACACCCAGATTGCAATCACTCAGAATACACCCAGAACTATTAAACTGGAACCCAAACTGTGAGGCGTGCTGCCTTACTGTTACTGGAGAAAGAATTAAAGCAAACATTGTCTGACGTCCTCAGAACCTCCTTTCAGGGCCTTTTTCTGATCAGGGGACCGTGGCCGTCTGGTTTTTGGCTTCTAGCGATTGCATTTTGAGAACGATCCTCACTCTTCCAACACCAGCTGGACTCCTGTGGGTTCCTGAGCAGTCTTGTGGAAAGGGCTCTGTTGGGGTTAACGTGCCATGAGGGTGAAGCCCTGCTTGGTGGGGATGCGGGGAATATTTTTAAAAGTGGGGCAGAGCGAGAGAACACTGCGTTTCCTTTGCTCCCCTGCCTTCCCAATTAACCACTTGAGGCCAGCACCACTGTTTCCCCATCAATACGCTCTTGGCCAGGAAGGGAGCCCTTGGCAAAGCAGCTACCAAATATCTGCCACGGACCATTGGCCCCTCTTCCCCTCCCCCAGAAACAGGACACACTTTATTCTCAGTCTGGGCAAGTGCCTTCCATTCACTGGCCCTGCTGGCCCAAAGGCCTCCACACAGTGTCTGCAAAGGCAGCTCCCACCGCCGCCCCCCCCCCTCCACTGCCACCTGGGGTCTGTGCAGTCAGGCTGAAGTTAGGGAAATTCAGAAAATCACTGGGCCTGAGCTAAACCCCCCTGCCTTCCTTCCTGGGCACCTAAATTAGCCTCCTGTCCCTGCCCCTTTGCCCTGCCCCTTACCTTGCAGACCCAGGTACAGAAAAACTGCTAGAAACTCCTTTTGGGTGGGAGCTAGAGGTCACACAGCTGAGGGAGGAGCTACAAGCCCCTCAGCGTTCTCAGCTCTCTTGGGGTGAAAATGACAGGGATGTTAACTTTGCACTCCTCTCAGTGCTGAAAAATGCTCCACACACCAAGCTGAGCTGTTGAGTCCTTGCAGGAAAGGAGGAGCAGGGTATGAGGTGCAGTGACATCTCAAAAGGACAGAACCCTCAGTAAACAGGCTTGCCCTTTTTCATGGCTATACTTTTCAGAATAGAGAGAAAACTGACAGCCAGGCAAGTGCATGAGAAGGCTTTATGTAGCCTTGTGAAAACTTGCAGGGGTCTCATGAGATCCACACACAGTCACCCTCTTCTAAACCTCTACCCCATACCCAGGACCCTCCCTCCCTCCCTGAAGGGCTGGAGGTCTTCTCCCCTCTCAAGCTCCTAAGACTCTCCAGATCACATGAGGGACCAGTGCTTTTTTCCCAAAGCTGGTTTTTAGCCCCAAAGCTGAACTAAAGGAAGTTTTCCAGTTCACCCTGAGTCACCTAGAAATCTCTGATGAGGCTTGGGACGCAGCTTGCTTTGCAAGTGGGAGTCCTTGCACTCAGAAGGATCCAGTAGAGCCAAGATTCTAGAAGGGGCAATTTGTTTCATATACCCCGAGTTATTGCTGAAACCCTCGGTATCCCAGAACCACTGAGGACAGGCACACAGGACCCAGAATTTCTGCACAATCGCTGGGGGCAGAAATCCTCACGTCTTCACCCCACAACCAAGTTTCAAAGTCCCCGTGTTATGACTGAGCATTTGAGCACCGTGGTGGGAGGGCTGAGCGTCCTCCCCTGCTGTCCCAACCTTCAGGATTTGGGATCCTCAGCCTGTACGCTGACCTTACGGAGGAGGGGATTTTTATCTGGCTTGGCTACAGCCTTTTATTCCAAGTGCAAAGGCAGCACTGTAGGCAGAGAGCAAAGCATGGGCTAAATTCCTGCAGAGCGACTAGGTACTATGGGGGAGGGGACCGGGACTCTACTCTGAAGCCCGGCCCCATGCTTAAGACCTAGCAGAAGGGACCCAGGGAGCCACAGGTCTCATAGAGAGGGCCAGCGAAGGCAGAGCCCAGTCACCTGGCATTACCACAAGACCTGTCCCTGCCCTGGGAGGCTCAGGCCATGGTGAAGGCCCTGAAAACTCAGAGCACAGGGGAGCGAAGAGAACAGGTGGCCCAGAAATATTCTGCCCCCATTCAGGTCGCAAGATTCGATTTCCTCTCCCCATCAACTGGGAGACTCAGAGTTCATGGCGACCCTGCTCCTTTCCAGACCTTGGCCCAGGCATCCTGACACTTCACTGTTAGGAGCCTACGGGGTGCTGGCTGACCTCTGTCCCTCCCTTCCCACTCTTCCCATTCCAACCTCCAACCACCCCTTTTTGCCCCCTCAGCCCACAGCCCAGCAGCCAGTCCACCACCATACCTCGCTCCTGCGTGTCACCTCCCAAGGAGTGACATCTTCACCTCTCACCTTCCAGTTTTCCATGTTCGCTAGGTTGACCCTCATTTTTGAACACCATCATTCCTCCCCCACCCAGAAGCTTCCTCTGAACTCCTGCCACCCTGGCCCAGCCCTGGCTGAGAGGGGCATAGCAGTGCTGGGCAGCAGCCTCTCCCTTCCTCCTCCCTCCCAGGCTGGACCTCACACACTAAGGCTTCTTCTTGGCCATCCCATCTTCCACGACAATTGCTAATAACAGTAACTATTCATTGTGCTAGGCACTTTGCATAGATTATATCTTTAATCATCCCAGTAACCCTAAGAGGTAGGTCCTATTATTATACCCATTTTATGGATGCGCAAACTAGGTTCAGAGAGGCTACCCAAGGTCCCACAGACAGACCTGGGATTCAAACCCAGGCCCTACGCTCTGTATAAAGCCACCTGCTTCTCTACCACATGGCTAGACCTCCAACGGTGTTGGAACACTGGCTGATAGAGACTTGAAGGGCAGTCTTATTTTCCTGCCCAAGGGTGAGATAACTGGGACTCATGCTCAGGAATCAAAATGGGCTTCAAGGCCAACAGGACTTAGCTTCAGGGTCAACAAATGCCCAGCCCCAGAACAATCTGCAGAGGGTCAGGGGAACTAGGGTTTGAAAGATCAGACAGAGACCACGGCACATCCAAGCCCTGCCATGGAGCTCCTCACATCCAAGGATGAGGTCTTGGCATGCATACTTCGCTGGCATTAGCTCTCTCCACCTCTCAATCCCAGGTTCAGAGGAGCTGGAAGCGTCCCCTGACCTTCGTTCCCCAAGGGAGCCATCAGTGCTGTGGGCAACACCCTGCATGGGGGTAGGCTCGGGGGTGGGGGACTGTCCCAGACTTTGAGGGCTCCAGGGGGAAAAGTGAGAGCCCATCACTCTGCACAGGGTTAGACCCGAACGTGGAGTCAGATTAAGGGGACAACCAGAACCTTCCAAAGAGCCAGGGAGCGGGCATATGGGTAGGCTTCCTTGAAAGGAGGGAGGAGGCCACAGTCTCTCAGTGCTCTGATTGGGACAGACCAGGGCCACCCACAGGCCACACTGAGGGGCTATCATTCAGGCTTCTCAACCCTCCATCCCATCCTGCTCCATTTCAGCATCACCACCAAGAGTGTGTCCAGGTACCGGGGTCAGGAGCACTGCCTGCACCCCAAGCTGCAGAGCACCAAGCGGTTCATCAAGTGGTACAACGCCTGGAATGAGAAGCGCAGGTATGCCCCACTGCCCCTCACCTTCCTTCCCACCACCCTACCAGATCCAGAGTCTAGACCCCTTCTAGGTCATCTAGCCCCATCTAAGGCATGAACACCCACTACAGTTGCCACAGTAAGCAGATACCCAGACATGGCTTACATACTCCCAGGGATGAGGAACTCATCACTTAACTTACTGCTACACTTATTGCTCTCTTGGACAATTGTAAGCATCGAAAATTGATCCTTTTGCGAACTAAAGTTTGTCTCATTCTAACTTTTATGAAGTTAGGGTAGTCCTAATTCCTCTCCTTATTTAAGTAACTTAAGTTTTCTGACCCCCAATTTCCCTCTGTCAAATGGCTGGGTGAATGCCCAGCATGGCTCTCTCTCTCCGTGATTTGTGTGGTTTGGTGAAACACAGCTGCTTAAGTGACTGGGTTTATTAACTATAAAACTGTGGGTACAACCATAAGATGATGAGGACAACTCCTTGCCAACAACATAGGCTCCCCTCAGGGTGCCTCATGCCCCCTGCTGCCCAAAAGCCTGATAAACTCCTTCCTGTACAGGTACAGGGAGGGACTTTGGGTTTGACCCTCTAAAATCAGAACCGCTCTTACCCTCAGGGGGCAGCAGTGGCCAGATGACCAGAGTCCTAAACTAGACCCCTAACCCCAACCTGGTCTGGGCTGTTCTCCCATTATCAGAAAATGGCTTCCCATCTCTGATCTCCTGGGGTCCCATGTCTGGCCTCAGAGGGGGAGGCAAGTTCCTGGCTCCCCTATGCTACATAAAGGTGAGCCTGTCCTAGAGCAGACCCACTCCTCACATACTCAGAGCCTGTTTACACCTGAATCTGCAGAGCATGACCAGGGAAGCGTGCACATACACGTACACACACACACACACACAGGTGAGCTCCTCAGGAGCTGGTGCCTGCACCTCATCCCGCAGAGGGGGGAACAGAGACTAAGTTGGGGGGAGTGACTTGTCTGGGAGCACAAGTTAGGAAGCTAGGTCTCCTGGCGTCACCTTTCCCTCCCTCCAGCGGGTACCCACGCCACCCTCCCATCGCCCCTCCTCCCCGCCACCCCCAGCACTTCCCTAAGCTCAGCCCATGACCAGCTCTCCCACAGCTGACACTTGGGCCCAACCCCAGTACCTGAACCTTTTGTGCTGCCTCCAAAACTGCCTCATCCACAATTGCTTGAAATAGAAAGTGATGAGAGCAAGAGATTATTTTCCATAAATCTACTGGAAATGAAGCCCTCTTTCTGGTCAGGGCAGGCAGCTCACATGACAAACACGGGACACCTCCTGTCCAGTCACCCTCTGGGCCCTGCATCATCAAAAGTGGAATGAGGCTGACTGCAGGGCCGGTTCACAGAGGCGCGGGCAAGTCTTCATCAGGTTGCTGGGAGATCCAGCCTTTGTCCCAACCCCTCCACCTGGGGCCACAGCTTTTTTTTTTTTTTTTTTGCTGTACGTGGGCCTCTCACTGTTGTGGCCTCTCCCTTTGCGGAGCACAGGCTCCGGATGCGCAGGCTCAGCGGCCATGGCTCACGGGCCCAGCCGCTCTGCAGCATGTGGGATCTTCCCGGACCGGGGCACGAACCGGTGTCCCCTGCATCGGCAGGCGGACTCTCAACCACTGCGCCACCAGGGAAGCCCGGGGCCACAGCTTTGATGAAAAGGAGGCAAGCCTGGGTCCATGCAGCCCCGCTCTTTTTGTTGCCGCAAAATCCATAGATGAGAGCGGTAAGGGCACCTCTGCTACCAGGCCTCCCATCACTTCCTTACAAAATGAGTTCATCCCTCCTTCTTGGAATGCTAAGGTGTCCTGGGAGAGGATGTGGGCATTCCCTTGTCCTCCTCGCCTCCCCTTCCTCTGTACAGGTTGAAAATGTCTTTGTGGAGATAAAGGAACCATCTTGAAGTCCTCTTTGCAGAGACAGAGAGAGGGAGAGAATGCTGAACCTAGAGTAGAGACAACAGAAGGCAGCGGCCGGCCCAGGCTGTGGGGCGAGACTAGAGGGCTTCCAGGAGCTCAGAGCCAGAGCTTCCGGCTGCCACCAGAAGCAGCAGCAGCAGGCATTTGACTTTGGTGCATAATTACTCAGAAATCAGGAACGAGGCGGAAGGAGCAGGGGACGACCTGGATGTGACGTGTGGTCCCACGGCAGCCATGCGGCAGAAAGGAGGGGATTTAAGTATCTAAACAGAGATGGTTGCGGAGGTGAGGGGGAAGTCAGCTTGTGAGTGCTCACAGGCCTGGTAACTACTAGAGGAAGTGACCTTGAGCCACGGGCCTCTGTGGCAGCCCCAGCCCCACTAACCACCCTTCAGTCTTCAGGCAGCGGCTTCTGGAACTGGCATTTTTTTTCTGGAGAACATGTATTCTTGGGCTAAATACAAAGAAAGACACAAGCCTAAATGGAGGGAAGGGATGCCTCTGCCCCTCCCCCCATCCACGCCACCATTGACATTCAGTGTTCGTTGGGCAGACTTTCAGTCTCTTGTTTCTGAGTTTCCTCATATACCAAGAAGGTTTGCTTCCTAGAGCTTTGAGCATAAAAAGAAACTGCAGAGGTGGAGGCTGTGTAGAAAGGACAGAGTCAGGTTCAGGTGAGCATTTATGCCCATGTGCTGGCCTCCTCTGAAGTGTCCCCTGCTTCTCCTGGGCTCCTGCGGTCCTGGGAGAGGGACTCCCCAGGCCAGGTGCAGAGAAGCTCAGACACCGGCCTGTGCATTTCCTGCCTCGTCCTGAGCCACTGAAATGGGTGTTTTCTCTTCCCAGGGTCTACGAAGAATAGGGTGAAAAACCCCTGACGGGAAAGCTTCACACCGGTTGGGACACAAGCAAAGGGCTTTGCAGATTAAAAAAACAAACCCTTTCTTTCTCACAGGCATAAGACACAAATTAAATATTGTTACAAAGCACTTTTTACCGGGGGTCAGTTTTTACATTTTATAGCTGTGTGCAAAAAGGCTTCCAGATGTGAGACCCTTCTCTCTTGTGTTCCAGATTTCGTCACAAGCTGCTTTTTACCGAAGAGGGGAGAAACTCATGCCTTTCCTTTATTAAAAAAAAAAAAAAAAATGCTTTTTTGTATCTGTCCAGACATCACTATACATCTGAGCTTTATAAGCACCTAGGAGGAACAGGGAACTTGTTTGAGACATTTCATAGCATTGTTGCTCCCTTCCTAGCGCGGGAAGCTTCCGCTCAGAGGTCCTGGCGCCTGGGCACAGCTGCCACAAGCTCTCCTGGGCTCATGGTCGGTCACAGCCTCAGGGGGACTCAGCAGCGGTCCCAATGGCCCCAATTGTTGGGCAAGCAGGAGCAGATCTCTCTGCATCTGTTCTTGGAGGAACTCAAGTTTGGCTGCCACAGAAATGTGCTTCATCCCCGGGGTTAATTTTTACACATTCCAGGAAACATTTCCAAGATCCTGGGATGGCGAGGCAAATAAATGGTCCTTAAGGAAGGTCCTTAAGGAATGGTCCTTGGGTCTTCTCTCCAACCTGAGCGTTTGTGAAAGTTTCACTGCTTCAAAACCACGTGGAGTTACTGATGCTGTAGCGAAAATCTTAGGAGAAAACTTAAAAATATACAAATACACGTACAATATACAGCTACAGATACACATGCTGTTGACGAGGGAAAACCTTCAAAGCATGTTTCTTTTCCTCATGACAATGGAATATGCAGTACTAAAGCAATCTGTGATTCCCCACGTAATTCTTCAGTGTTAAACAGTGCAGTCCTCCTTCGGTGCAGCCCTCTTTAAGATGACCACACGCCTTTCCCTTTGTAAATATACTCTTAGGAAGGCCCCCTCTACACATGTCCCTTCAGTACGTGCCGTGTTGCATATCGTGTCGTATGCTATGTAAATGTCAGAAACCGTTAGCATTGCATGCAGGTTTGATATTCTTTCTAAGACAAAAAGAAAAGTAATAAAACATATTTGAAATGTACCAAAATTTTAGAGTACTGACTTTTTTTTCTACTTAATTAAGCCAGGATGACAACCAAATGTTTACCACATCCTGAATAAACAGGGACAGATGCACTGGGGAGGAAAACTTGTGTTTCCCGATACCTGTCAACACCGTCACCTCTATAGAATGTCCTGAAGACAGAAAGCCAGGCTTCGAGGCGGATGCTTCTTCCCTGCCTGGCTCCCACACCTGGGGCAGGTTCATCAGAACAGCCAGGTCGGCGCCTATAGGACCACAGGGTCACGCTGCCATCCTCATTTAGGGAAGGCAGTAGATGCGGGACCCGTCAAGACCCCTGGGGTCCAGGGCCCCAGGATTCTAGTGGAGCTCAGGCAAGGGCAGGAAGTGCCCACCTACAGGGCTCCGCAGCCAGGCTGTGTGGGAGCCACAGCCAAGGCGACACTGAAGGTCCACTTCTCCTGCAGGATGGAGATGATAAGCGCACACACCTCACGGCGCTTCTGGGGACCGGAGGAGGCAATCCATGTAAAGCGCTCAGGACACCAGGGCATGGCGAGCGCTCGGTAGATGTGAGCTCCTTCAACATCCACAAGACCAAGCCACTTTGCACTCTGCACAAACTGCCCACAGCCCCACACCTCAGGTACCCCAGTCAGCCGCGCCCTGAAACAGGCCCCTCTGTGCCCGCCTGGATCCCACACGCTCCACAGGACTGCCCAAGGGGACATGCCTCCACCCTATCTGCACCTCTTGTCTGCTTCGCCAGGAACCAGCAGCCAGGCACCCATGTCCCTTCACCTCCGAGGATGGCTTCCTGGCTCTGCCAGCGCTTACAGGGACACACAGCAAGTACCCTGCCCTAGCACCTCCTCAGCAAGATGCTACTGCATCCTTTCCATCATCTCCTGGCGCTTCCAAGTCCCACCAAGTGTATATGCCTGAGGAAACTGAGGACCAGAGAAGTTAGGAAAGCTGCCCAGGGTCACTCTTCACACAGCTCCAATGGCTGAGCCTGGCAGCCTCTTTGCTGAGAGGAGCAGGACAGGGTGGGCCGAGGCCACGCTGAGCCGGGGAGACTGTGAATGCCCGGTGTGGTCCCACTTTCCCTTCATCGTGGAGGAAGAAGGGAGACTGGACAGGAAAGCCCGGACACCAGCAGACAGAAAGGAGAGCCCCAGTGTGAGGGCACATTCCAGGGCAGGGGAGAGCAGAGGCCGGGCCCCTCTCCGCCGGGAACCCTGACCCCTGCTTGGCCCCAGATCAGCATACCTTGCTGGGGCCTCACCAGGGCGAGCCACCGTAAGGAACTCGGCTGAAGGATCCCCCCTGCCCTCCCCCCAGCCCCCTCACCCTCCCCACACCTGGCCCTGACAACGCAAAGGCCTCCCCATCTGCCGACACCACGGCAGGGGGCGCAGGATTCTCTATGCTGCTCCCTGAGTTGCAGGCTTCACCCTCCACTCACTCTGGACGCGCTACGTGCCCTCGCTCAGGGCTCTCCTCTATCCCAGCTGTGGCTCTAGAAGCAGCACCTCCTCCTCCAGCCCTGCTGGCCTGTGAGTCCCCTCCCTCTCTGACCTCCCAAGACACAGATTGGATTCTTAGTAACAGTAACAATGTCCCCCTACGGTGTGCCAGGCACTGACCCGGGCACTTGCCGTGCTGCTCATTCTGCACCCTCCCGGCAGTGATGTGTTGTAAATGCCCAGACAAAGGACCCAATTTGCACGAGAGATGCAGATGGTAAGTAGAAGGAGAGCTGGACTTCGAGCCCCGGTGTGTCAGAAAGCAGGAGTGGAGGTCTTGTGTGTAAACGTCTCGTCCCCTACAGAGGCTGTGTGCCCCGGGAGAACAAAGGTTGGCTATGCTTCCTGGACGACCTGGACCCTGTCCTCCAATAGACAAGCACTAGCCGGACCACTAAGAATGGGTTCTCAGCCCCAACACTTCACCAGGAGAGGGCCCTGCAGTGCCAGGAACTATGCTTGGCTCCAGGGAAGATGCCCTTTTTCCCACTTACAGAACTGCTTCCCATTGTGTTTCTCCTCTGGGCTTCCCAGCAGCCCTATAAGTGTCCACCCACCACATTCCAGAAAGGAGAGTAACTCTAGTGTAGCAAACAAGGCCGGGCCACTTTTCCAAGTAGCTCTTCCAGGCCTCCCTGGGAAGGGGTGAACACGCTCCTTTGTGCACGGGCGGACCAGGCCCCATGTGGGCCCCATCTTCAGAGCCACCACTTCCTCACAGACAGGCATGCTTTGGGATCCAAAAGCCAGGAGGTCCCTGACCCCCGACTCTTCCCACAGGCAGGTCCTGAGCAGGTAGGCAGTGTTGCCCCAGACTCAACACAGGGACGGACACATCCTCAGAGAGTTCCAGCCCAGCTCTGCTGCTCATCTTCACCCGGCCAAATCTCCACCATGAAGCTTTTCCTGGTCACCTTGGACCTGCAGCCAGGACCACCTACATAACTGGGGTCAGGACCAGCTACATAATCGCAAGGTGTGGTGCAAATTAAAGATGCAAGGCCCTCTGTTCAAATTTTAAGAATTTCAAGATGGCAACAGCAGAGCATGAAGCCCCAGCACAGGGCTCTGTGCAACTCTCACATCACAAGCGCACGGCACCGGCCCTATAGCTCAGGTATCAACTCTAACACCCATCTGGATGGCCCATTTGAGCCCTGAGTTATTACATGACTTGTACTATAATTTAACACCTTTATTTTAACTTGAACAGCTAATAAGATATGTTCTAAGAAGCCAGGGACTATGCCTTACACTTCTTTGCAAAAACCTCCTGGAACCTATGATAGTGCTTAGGACGTACTCAAACACCATGAATTAATCTTCGTCGTAAGGAGCTCCCAGAGAACGTACTTTCTGCACTCATTCACTGAGCCACCACTACGTGCAAAGCCCTGTGCTGCCCACCACAGGGAATGAAGGCTGGTGAGGCGCCGTCCCTCATCTTCAACGGCAGAGTTCATCATTCGTGACCCAGCCACTGTTCCATCATGAAGCATTTGTGGCACACTGCTGGATGCTGGGGACGACCCCTCCAGAAACTCCCAGTCCAAAGGGAGATGAAGACACTGCCTGAAATTGCCTGTCGGTCTAACACTAAGCCAGAGGGCCACACAGCAGGCTCTGGGGACACCCCAAAGAGGCACCTCACCCAGTCTCGGAGGGGGCGACCCCTGACCAAGACCTATCAGTCTGGAGAGAGCTCATGGCAAATTGTAAGTTGTTCTTAGGCAATGACAGGAAGTCCTGATTCCATCCTGTCCCTGACGTGGCCCATGGCTCCCTGTGTCCATATGTGATGAGACAGGCCAGCAGAAACAGAGCGCCAGGGCCGGAAGTGGAGAATGTGAGGGAATTCAGAGGGGCCTCAGAAATACCAGCCATGCCCCAGCTGAATATCCAGGGAAACCAGGCACAGCTCCAACCTCCGCTCCCAGCTCACCCATCTCCCTTCCTCTCCTTCTTCGCCTCCCGCCCAGCCTGCCAGGGAACCATGGCTGGGGCCTCCACAGCCTCACTGGCAAGGAAGCCCACCACAGCTTTTCTGCTCACCCTCCCCCCGAGGAAGACACCATACTGCTTTTAGAGCCCTCCCTTGTCCTCCCCTTTTGAAAAGTTGAATAGATAATCTTGGAGGTCGTTAAGGAAGCAATAAAACCTAAAGCAATTTTCTTTTCTCTGGAGGTAACATCTCCCAGCTTCCTCCACGCCAGGCCATGCTGAGCCACACCACCAGAGGACAGCAAAGAGCCAACGGACCTCAGCCAAGGGCCCTCCGAGTTCCCCGAAGCTGTGTGAGAACAGTGACAACAGGGACTGGTATAGTCCTTACTTACTGTGAGCCAGACCCTGTGCTGAGACCCTTAAATGCCTCATCCCATGGAATCCTGGTAACAACCACAGCAGGGGCCGGGGGTGGGAAGTGGTGGGGTGGCTGGGGGCGGGGGGGTGACCTGTCCTTTAGCTCCACTTTACAGATGAGGAAACCGAGGCTTAGCAACGTGAATACACATTGCCCATATTCACAAAGCTAGCAGGTAGTAGACACAGAATTTGAACCCTCACGTCTGGAGGGTTCTGAGCAGGGCTTCTGCCCCCAAAGGATGCACTGTCTTAGAGGTCCTGCCGACCCCGGCCCACAGGAGACTGCTGTGCCCTCACCCAGGCCTCACCTACTGTTTATTGAGTAGATATTGATCATCTAGTGAACTTGGGCCCCATGGCCCACCAGCGTGGCCAGGTTTGTTTTGGGTATGCCTCATTTTGTCTTTCAGAAACTGAAGACTACAGCCACACACACTCCCCTAGGCCTTCTCCCACTCATCCGACAAAGCAAAGCCGTCCCCACAACTGTGGAATCACTGCTCTGCCCCACATCTGATACACACGAATTCGGCTTAAGTAGAAGCAGCCAGAGATTCTTCCAGCTACCGCCAAATACGCTGAACAAGCAAAATGACTATAATATCAAATTCAATTCAATGTTTTGGTTAGAAACAAGTTGAAACCATCAAGAGGTTGGTTTAAAAAAATGAATTCAAAGCTGGATTTAAAATAATTAGCCTGTTTCACAATGAAGAGAGTTGATATTCTGGGAACAGTAGTAGGATGTCTAATTAGATGCAGATGAGACGCTCATCTAATATTCAAGGTTATTTCCCCAGGAACAAAACGGAAGGTGAGGCAACAGGCTCTTTCTTCCAACCCATTGTTTCTTTGAAAGCAGCCCTCACACAGGTATCATCTCTACATTATAAAGGCTTTTGTCCCCCTGAAATAATGGCCTGCAAAGACAGACTGGAGTTAAGTATTTGCATTAGGTAAGCCACAAAGTATTAAAAACCAAGAACATTATGACAGAAAGAACATCTTTCAATTCCTTTACAGCTGCTAAGATACCAGCCCTGCTGATTCCCCATACTTTGAGGGGCAATAAAGTTTAATAAAAATAATAACCACCACCACCACCAATATTTATTGAGTGCTTTCTCAACA